TGGCTGAATTTAAGGATCGAACACGCGACTTTGAAGGTGCACCACTCTGTGTGCGCTTGCGTTCAAAAATTATAAGCATTCTCTTACAAGTCCTAAAACGGATTAGCCAATGCACAGCGCTTTTTCTCAAAACACGCTTTTTTGTCTAAACTCGTCTGCTTGGAATACTCTTTTAATAACAGTACATTATAGAAAGATAATTTTTTAATCGAACGAGCAAAAAGTTTTACGTGGGCTGATGGGAGTCAATTTCTGAAGTGGATCCGAGCTTTTTCTAATGACACTAATTCATAGTTAAGAGGGCCGTTTTTCTTAGAAACACGGAACGGACCAAGCCATTTGAGCGCAAGTTTGGGAACTGCCCATTTTCCTAATGCGTTGCCTGCCGTATTTGCCATTAGTACCAATTCTCCTACCTCAAATTCCACTTTCTTACGATGCATATCGTAAAGAATTTTCTGGTTTTGTTGCACAATGTCAAGATTGTCTCGCGCAGACTTATGTGCTGAAGATAGAACAGCACGTAAACGATCGGTATACGCTCGCAACTTGGCCGAATCTTTCAATTCGATGGTCGCTTCGATCTCAGACCCGTATAAAAGATCCATTGGGGGGGTCTTAACTCTCTACCATAAAGTAGAAAAGATGGGGTTTCGCCCGTTGACTCGTTTATACCAGTGCGAATGGCAAAAGCGAGTTGAGGAAGGTTATTAAGGCCCTCAGAAATGATTTTAACCAGTACTCCATGACGACAAGTGACTTCGTCATGCAATAATTTTGCTATATGTTTAGCTTTTATATCTTCCAAAGGAAACAATTCCACCCATTTAGTGAAATAGTCAATAATGACTAAAATGTAGCTGTTTCCCCTGGGAGTTTAGGGAGTGGGCCTGTGAGATCTATTCCGAGCGTATGCCAGGGCGTTTGCACAATATGTGGTTGCATTAAACCGGTCTTTTTTTCATTACCAGCCTTAAAACGTTGACAAAGGGCGCAAGATCTTACATAGTTCACTACGTCGCGTCTCATGCCTCCCCAATGGAAACGGATTGATAGTCTATGTTTTCGGCGACTTGAATGACCTGACGCGGGATGATCGTGTGCGAGTTTTAGGAGATTTAGATGTTTAGAATGGGAGATGACCAAAAGGTGGGGACTAAAACTATTTTTCAGGGGGGATTCTTCGTCGAACTTGTGGACTCTACAGAGTTTTCCATCGATGACTTTATGGTTTTTGGCGAGGTCTTGGACTTTTTGAAGGAGAATATCATCAGACGGAAAAACACCATCCTGAATGAAGGAAATTAAGGGACCATAATCCTTATCCTGTCGTTGTGATGCCTTTATATCGTCTAAAATATTACAGCTATCCCAAATATTAACGGCTATCTCTTGATTTTCTTCGATAGGGTCGATTAAAATACTATTTGGTTGAATAGCAGCTACTATCTCGGTCTTAATGGGATA